ATTTGTTAAACGTAGTATGAATTTTTAATTACTAAATTCAGTATAGTAAGGGTTTTTTTATATTTAAAAATCTGTCTAACACTGAAAATCTGTTGTATTGTAAAATTCATTATATCAAAATTCGTTGTAGAAAGAGTTGACTGTAGCTTGAATTACTTAATCATAACAAACTCTCAAAATTAAGTACTAAATTTACTTTTTTAAACAATCATGTGATTTGGTTAGCATTAAGATTTTATTATAATTTTGATTAAAATTAAATCTTTATTAAAATAACTTAAAGTATATTATTAGGAATTACATAATATTTTTTATACCTTTTAATAGCATATTCTACTTGTTTTATATTTAATCAATTTCTATATACATTTATATATCTAAAAGATTTTTTAGAAAAGCATTTTAAAAGTAGTAATATAATAAAATTAAAAAATTTTTTTATAAAAAAAGTTCTTTTTTAATTTATTTAAAAAAGTAAATGTGAAAATATTTTTAGTATCAAATTTTGAATCTTTATATATAATTAAAGAAATATTCTAATATTTGATGATAATTTTTTAAAAATGATTAATTTAGAAAATCTTATTGTAATTTAAAAGCTAAGAAATAAATATATTTAAATACAATAAATTTTTATTTTTTTTAGAAAGCAATTAAATTTTAAAAAGGGATATCAAACTTGCTGTGATTAAGAGTCTCAAGCTATAATAATATTATTATAACTTTAAATAATAATATTTAAATATATGATTAAATCATATAATTAAATAAAAGGTAAAATTGCTTGCAATTGTAATTAATAATTTTTCTTTATTTATTTATTTTTTTTTTTTAAAGACTAATAAAGGATTAACATTAATTTTATTATAATTATTATAAAATTTAGAATTTAAAATTCTAATTACAAATATATGGCAATTATTTTATTAATTTTAGATTTAAAATTGTTAGTTATATAATTATTACATAGATTATATAACCATTTTCAATCATATAAATATAATAGAATAAATGTAATTTAATAAATTTGTCATGTTTCTATAAAAAACAATTTATTTTTTATTTTATTTGTTTATTTTATTTTTTTTTTTTTTTAAAAAAAAGGAATGTTTAATGAAAAGAATAATTTTATTTTAATTAAAAAAAATTTCTTTTTCAAAAAGAAATAAATAAAAAGTTGACAATTAATAATATGTTTGATGATTTTTTTTTTTTTTTTTTTCAATTTACATTAGAATGTTCCTATTCATTATAATCACCAGTCATACAATATTCACATCGACAACCTTTATAAATTAAAGTATCCTCAGGATCATAAACATGTACGGAAGGACCTTGTCTACTAAATTTAGGATGAGTTAATTGAACCAATTTTTTAGCCTTTTCTTTATTTTGTCCTCTATCATGTTGCCTTATATTCATATTCAACAAACACTTTGGAGAAATATGTTTATAATTTTCAGTCGGAGAAGAGGGGGGAGTTTTAGGGGAAAGCGGCGGAGTGAAAATTTCACAGTTACAATTATGGATCGAAGGTAAATTTTGAGTAGACAATTTGGGAATATTTTGAGGGATGGTTTGAGGTTCGCTAGGAACCTGAGATTTATCTAAGATTTCAGCCAACCTTCTACGTTGTATATTATCGGAGATAAATAAATCGTTATTATGTTGCATTAAGTCAGACCATTCACTAGCGAACAAGTCATTCTCATCTTTTATGACGGAAACTTCTAATCTTCCTTTCTGCCTTAATTCATCCATCCAACGTTTTTCTAGAGAGATTTGTACTTTGTCAGCGACGGTCTGATAAAATATGCATTCTTTATCGTTACCATGAAATGACATTTTATAATCAAGCACCTCGTTCTTATCATTATGATTTTGACGAAACTTGCTACTATTTACATGAGGATAATTATCGCAAAGTAAATATCCGTACTTTGTTAAGGAACCGTCGGCATTTTCTTTATATTTGTAGTAGTAAACTTCTGAGAAGTGAGAATGACGAAATTCGATTATGTAACCATTTTTATGAATGGGTAACGGAGTATAAATGTATATCTCGCTTGATGGCTTATTATGAACCGATTTATTGCGTTTGAAAGTTTGACATAACTTCTTTAAACGCATGTTTTTGAATTAAAAAGGTGGTGAAATGTCAATTAGAAATGGAGAACTTGATATAATATCTTAATCAATAAGATGTTATATGATATATATATATATATAATATTTATGATAATTTTTTTTATTTTTTATTTATTTTTTACGAGAGATAAAAAAAAGGGGAATGTGCGTGTTTAAACTCTCTTTTTAAATAGTTGAAATTCGTTTTCTCATTCGTGTAACTTTATTTGGTAAGGTTTGATCCGCTGATTTCTCACAGCCTAATATAAAAAAAAACTATAAGCAGTAACCCAAACATTTATGGAGTCTGCAATAGTATGCTATTGTATCATAAAAATAGACTTCTTGATCAACAAAAATACCAATTATAAACCGTTTAATTATGTTAAGCTCATTTATTTATTGTTGTAAAATTTATATTACAATATATACAATAAATATTACAAGCAGGGTGATTTCATGATTTTAGAAATCATGTGTACTTGTTACTGTGCCACTTTACAAACCCCGAAAAGAAACCTTAATTAATATGGACAAAGAAAACAGATGATGAAAATATCGGTTTTTCGTTGTTTCAACTAAAAATATAATTCAGACGTTAAAAAAAAAAAAAAAAAAAAAGGCTTTCATTGTATGATTTAATTATTTGTCGATAATTGGCCGATCAATCTTTAATCCAATCTTTTTTGAAAATGACCGCAGAAAAAAGTTCACGTTTTGTGATTCTTTATGCTTCTCAAACTGGGAACTCTGAATGGATCGCTAAAAATATACACCAAGAAGCCTTAGAACGTGGTTTTGTTAACGAGTGTCATGGGATGGAAGAACATGACAAGGTACATTTGATCTTTGAAAGATATTTCTTTATGAAAGATTCTTATATAAAATATTATATATGATTTAGGTTGATTTATCAAAGGAAAATATTTTGATCCTTGTTTCATCTAATACTGGAGATGGTGATCCGCCCGAGAATGCTACTAATTTCTTTCGGTTTATGAGAAAGATTAAATCAAATACCTTTTTAAGTCACTTACAATTTGCAATTCTTGGTAATTTCAAATTCATCATGCCATCGATTGAATTGTACTTTGTAAGTTGATTTTTTTTTTCCATCTTGTTGGTTAGGTTTGGGCGACACAAATTACACGAATTTCAACAACACGGCAAAGCGATTGGAGAAAAAATTGTTGGAATTAGGCGCCACGCCTTTTTATGAGAAAGGTTTGGCCGATGATGCGATGGGGTATGAGAGTCTATCTATGCTTGCCAGTGGTAGAATATATTTATATAAATGTATAAGAAATGAGTCCTTTGATAATTAATGTATTTTAAACTCAACAAATCATTACAAATATCATTTCTTTACATTCTTCAAGCTTGGAAGCAACCGTTGATCCTTGGATCGAGAAATTATGGCCGGCTTTAGCTAAAGTATGTGTTCAAAAGGGAAAGAACAACAATAATGCTCATGACGAAAATATCGTTGAATCCGTAAAGAATCTTTCGGTGAATGATAAGTCCGATAACAATGATTTGTCATTACCTTTGAAACTTCCAAATGAACTTTCAGTTGATGAAAAGATGAATTTTGTGATCGGTACAAAAATTACGTTTGAATTATCGGAATTGGCTAAAGCCGAAACACTCACGGCTTTACCACGTATTCCTACCGTGATTTGCAAAATTGTAAAATCAAATAAGAAAGAGTCCATCAACCCTGCGTCATTACCTCCTTTTATTAATACATCAACTCCGATTGTGAATGCTAGATTAGATACGGTTCGTTGTCTCACTCATCCTGATGCTCTCAAGAGGACGATTCATTTGGAATTGGACATTAAAGATTATAAGGAGAAATTGGAATTTGTTCCCGGCGATTCCATTGGAATAATTGCACCTAATAATAAGAAGTTGGTGTTGGAAATTTTAAAAACTTTGGAAATTGGTGAAAACGAGGCTAATCAGGAAATTTCAATTGAGAGTCTTGAAGGAACTGGTACGTAAATAAAAAAAAAAAATAATCCTCCGAGATTACACCTTGTGAATTAAATCGACTTTTTATCCGTTCAGTGCTTCCATCACATCTAAGAAATGCTCAGACGACTTCAATTATGGAATTATTTCGATATGGTGTGGATTTGACCTCTTTACCACGTAAAGCGTTGTTGAGATTGATGGCCGAGTATACGACGGACGAAGAAGAGAGGAAAACTTTATTATTCCTCTGCAGTAAACAAGGTATCCCCCTCTCTAATATTTTGTTTCCTTTTTAATTCAATGTTAAATACGCCAAGTCATAATTATTCAATAATATAGGAGCTGACCAGTTTAATCGTTTACGTCACCAAATTCCAACTTTGCTTGATTTATTGGTTACCTTTCCTTCGTGTAAACCACCCGTGGAGCGTTTATTTGACGTTCTACCGTCTCACCAACCTCGTTATTATTCTATCGCTAATTCTCCTCTTGTGAATCGCGATTCATTTCATATTGCCTTTAACATTGTAGATTATAAAACACCGGACCCTTATGGTGTGCGCAAATTTGGAGTTTGTACCCCATGGCTGGATAATTTGAGTGGTCACGTTAACGAATGGAATAAAAGGTTTCCTTTGACCACAAAGGTAGACATCCCTATTTTCATGAAACAAAACACTTACGGATTTGCTGTTCCTTCAGATATTTCAAGACCTATGATCATGATCGGTCCTGGAACGGGTGTTGCACCTTTTATCGGATTTATTCAACATCGTGAACAGCAAATTATTGCTGAAAGACGATCAGATAATATTGAGAAATCGTTGGGGGAGATGTGGTTATTTTATGGGTGCAGAGATATTGAAAAGGACCATTTGTATCGTGAGGAATTGGAAGGATTTTTAAAACGTGGTATTCTAAAAGAATTATTAGTTGCAACTAGTAGAGCACCAGACGCTGGATTAAATGGAAATCCAAAGTATGTCCAAGATTTGTTGAGAAAGAGAGGTCAAGAATTGTACGAATTGTTGGATCGAAAAGATGCGATGATTTTTGTGTGTGGGTAGGTAGCTGAATAGTGATATTGTTTTATTGAAGCATACCTTTTTATTTACTTATTTATTTCTTTATAGAGATGCTCAAGGTATGGCCAAGGACGTTAATGATGCTCTAGCCGATATTTTAGTTGAGTATGGTAACATGCAAAGATCAGATTCGTTGAAATTGTTGGCTAAATGGATGAACGATAAGCGTTATTTACGAGATTTGGTAAGTTATTCGAATTGATTTTGAGATTTTTTTGGTTTATATGAGATTTATACTGATCGTTTATTACACTTATATTTAGTGGTCTTGAATATTATTGGGATAATGATAGAAAACGTATTTTTATTTATTTTTTTCGAATTTAATGAAATATCAAATATTTCTCTATTATTAATTTAATTCTAGTATTTCCTCATTTATTAAAGAAAGAAAACTTGTTCTCGGCCGTTTAACACAATCAATTTTCATTTGACAATTTTGTGTCTTGCCCATACTTTCTTGGCATCTAACAGGTTGCCATCAAGTGAAATATTTTTGATAGTATAGAATAATTTATGGAAACTTCCGAATTCAAATTTGTCATTATTTAAATGGATCCCATTTCAACCCTAATTGTTAATCATGAAACATAAAACTCCGGTCACATGGATAAATCGTTAAATTGGACGTCAATTAAACCAACATTCATTGTTTGTGCACAAGATCATGACACGTAATTAAGCAGTAGTACAGCTAAAGTTGTCTATATAGAATTCGATTTATGCCAAAAATTTATTAGCCTAAAAAACTTGACAAAAAAAAAAAAAATTACTTGCACCCCGTATTGTTAAAAAAAGGTAAAAAAGTATAAATAATCCGAACACTCTAAAATGTTTCATAATAATTTAATGAGTGCTTTGCTTGGTACGATGGGAGCTGTGAGTATATATATTGTTACATTTATTTATTTATTTACGAGAAGAAAAAAAAACTTTTATTGACCTTTTGAATTATTACGATTGTGGTTTTAACTCACTTAAATATTTTAGATTATTGATCCACCAACACAACGTTCAACAAGCCCAACCAGCCCAAACGAAGGTTAGATTTTCACTCACTCGCTCTCAATTTTTACTTTTATTGTTTAATTTCGAATTAATGATAACGTCGGTAAACGTTATGCAGACTCAGATTCAGATTCTTCAAGTGGAAGTAATGGAACAAATGTTTCTTCTTTGGATGCGATATATCTTACAACTTTATTTCAAGAGAATAATATTGAGGGAATAACGAATGATGATCAACAATTCATTATGCAATCAGAAAAATTATCAAAAGAAAAATCTACCGCAGAAAAATTGCAAGAGATTTTTGAATTATCAAATCCCGAACAACTTAAAGGAGGTAAGTAATAGAGAATTTCAAAAACAAATCAATAAATAAATTCTTATTTTTTTTTTTTCTTTTGGAATATTTTTTAACTATAGAGTTTAGATGTACTTTATTACGATCAATCATGTTACAAGGTTTCATGTACCTTACGGAAAATCACATCTGCTTTCATGCTTATTTTCCAAGAGAACAGGTAACAAAAATTAATAAACGATCATCGACATGCATACAATCCTTTTTATTGTTACACGAACAAACTTTAAATTCTTCATTTAGGATATTGTATTGAAAGATGGTAACCTCGCAAAGAAAACTTTTGGAAATAGATACGAACGGTATCATTTTTCACTTCAAAATGATGTGCTTACTTATTACGTAGATCCAATGGTAATCTATTTATGATAATTACACCCATTTTAATTGGGAAGATGGTTTTAAAATTTCTTTTCTCTTAATTTATTATAGGATATGTATTGTCCTGAAGAAATCATTGATTTAAAATATGCTATAAAAGCTGAAAGAATTAATAAAAAGAACGGATTTAAGATTATCACGCCGAAGCGTACGTATAAATTTCAGGCTGATTCACAAACTTCTATGGAAGAATGGATAACCCAATTAGAAAGATCCATAGTAAGAGCTAATAATGGTGGCGATAACGTAAAGGTTAGCAAACTTTTTTAACAGTATCTTTACAGCTTCACAAAAATTTTTTAACATTCCTTGATTATTTTTAAAAGATTGTTATACCTATTGAAAGTATTGAAAACATTCAAAATAATTTATCCATGAATTTTTCAAATACGATACAAATCGATACTTTGGAACACGATGAACGCGAAGAAGTAATTATCTCTCTTTTTAAGGTTCATCGTTTCTTTAAGCATACACTAATTTATATAATATTTTTTTTTTACCTTAGTATTTTTTTGCGTTCTTCTCGGATAGTCAATCTTTATATGATACACTTGTTAAACTTTGGAAAGGTCACAAATCAAATGATCTTAAACGGTCACGTTCAACAAACACTAGATCATTATCCCCTGAACCAACCACTCCTACATCACTCAAATCAGACTTCATTGCGTTAATAAAACATAAACGTAGTAAAAGTCAAGAACCTCCGGTTAATTCATCAAGGTCTATACAAAAGCAAACAACTTTAGAACCTATATCGGCTTCTGAAACGACAGATAGTCAATGGAATGTAACAAAATTTGTCTCCAGGCGTGCAAGAGTATTTTGGAAAAATCCTAAAAAGTATTATAGTTCTTTTGATGAAAATCCTTCGGAGGAAACTCGTCAACATTTTAGGGAACATTTTGCCTTATCGGAACATGAGAAGCTTTATGCTGGTATGCTTTATCACGAGATAAATTTTTTTTTGATAAAAGTTGTACTGAATTTATGTGTATAATATATATTTAGTATTTTATGGATATTTCTTGCGTATGCTTCCTATATATGGAAAATTTTACGTATCCGACAACTATGTTTGCTTCAGGTCCAGGGTTATAGCCCAAAATACCAATGTAATTAATTATATTTTATATTATTCAACCAATTTTTATTTTCAATGAATGACGAATTTTTTTTTTTTTTTTTTTTGAAAAAAATCATTTGTAGATGATATTGCCAATAGCAGATATCCATTTCTTTAAAAAGACAAAGGCAACCATGTTAGGATATTATGGATTGGAAATTCTTACAAAAGCTCAACAAGAAATGTTTTTTGAATTTGGTTTTGAGCATGTAAGGGATAGATTTGTCGAAATGATCGAACTTAAATTGAAATTACTTGGTAAAGGAAATAAGAAGACATCGTCAGGAAGTTCATCTGATAGTCAAAGTATGATCAAACAAGCTATTATCAAGGATCAATTGTTATGGCAACAATGGTCAGAAGTTAGTCCAACACCAAAGGCATCAAATTTTGGTGAGATTGGAGCGAGCGTTTCCAAAATCGATAAACCATTACACATAACGTGCCTTACTATTGGATCACGTGGTGACGTTCAACCCTACATTGCGCTTGCTAAAGGTCTTATGAAGGAGGGTCACAAAGTTAGAATTGCTACCCATGATGAATATAAAGACTGGATCGAAGGTCATGGTATTGAATTTGGTTATGTCGGTGGTAACCCTGCCGAACTCATGGTAATTGTTTCGATATATATCCATACATATGCATAGAAATATATATATATAGATATATGATTAAATTGATTGAAATTTCACATTTATAGCGTATTTGTGTTGAGAACGGCATGTTTACTTTTGGCTTCTTTAAGGAAGGTCTCGTTAACGTGAGGATTTATAATATTCTATTTAACGTGTCTTATTTAAAAAAAAAACAAAAAATTGATTACTATATATTCATTCGTAGTTCCGTGGATGGTTGGATGATTTACTGAAAACTTCATGGGAGGCATGTCAGGTGAACAAAACGTTACACGTTAAATAATGTTATAATGTTTAGCTTTATGGTTTCAAATATGAATTTATTTTTTGCATTTAATTTTTAATTTAGGGCACAGATGTAATTATAGAGTCTCCTAGTGCTATGGCTGGCATTCATATTGCAGAAGCTCTTGGTAATTAAATAAGAAAAAAAAATTTTTTTTCTTATGCCTAAAAATAAGATAGTTCGATATTTATTTACCCTTATTTTTGATATAGATGTTGCATATTTTCGTGCATTTACAATGCCATGGACTAGAACAAGGGCTTATCCTCACGCATTCGCAGTTCCAGATCATGATCTCAAGTCTCCGTATAATTATTCATCTTATATACTTATAGAGAACGCTTTTTGGCTCGCAATCTCCCCACAAATAAACAAATGGAGGAAGGACACATTGAAATTACGGAGCACCAATTTAGAGAAAATGGAACCTTCAACAGTTCCATTCTTATATAATTTCAGTGAACGAATTGTTCCAAAGGCATCCGATTGGGCCGATTGGATTCATGTGACCGGTTATTGGTTTTTAGATAATCCTGACCTCGGATGGACACCACCAGATGATTTATTGGAATTTATAGATAAAAATCGTGGGAATAAAAAGCCAATTGTATATATTGGATTCGGATCAATTGTAGTAGATGATCCACAGGCAATGACAAAATCAATCGTAGAAGCCGTACAAAAAAGTAAAGTAGCAGCAATTATATCGAAAGGATGGAGCGATAGATTACATCAAAAAAGATCGGACCAGAATGAGGAAGAAAATTATCCACCATCAATATACCCGTTAAAATCAGTACCACATGATTGGATGTTTCCTCGGGTGGATGCAGTGATACATCATGGTGGTGCAGGTACGACAGCAGCAGGGTTACGTGCCGGTATACCAACCATTATAAAACCATTTTTTGGAGATCAATTTTTTTGGGGAGATCGCATCGAAAACATGGGAATTGGATTTTGTTTGAAAAAATTAAGCGTAGATAAATTTTCCGATTATTTGGTGAAAGTCACGACGGATAAAAAAATGATTGAAAAGGCTGCATTAGTAGGCAAAAATATTAGATCAGAAGATGGTGTAAAAAATGCGATACAAGCAATCTATAGAGATTTAGAAGATGCAAAACAAAGAATCCACTCACAACGTATCAGAACCGATAATAATACTTCGACATATAACGTATTTGGGAATTTAGAAGAAAAGATCGATTTCAATAATGCCGCAAAGGCTTTATCTTTATCTGCCTTGAACCCTTTAAATCAAGATAGAAGGTTATCTAAATCTTTCAAAAAATTAATTGGTATTGGTGCTGGAAACATTCTATCAAATTCTAATCGGGAATTGACTGATACTGAAAGGCATTCAACTATAATTTCTAATATTGAAACTATTCCTGAAAGACAACCTATATAATTATTCTTTTATATATTAGCAATACATATTTTATTAATAACACTTTTTTATTATAATCAATTAATCAAAATAATCAATATAATCAATATAATCAAAACAATCAGATCATTTAATATATATTTTTTTGTAAATAAATTTTACATTTTCACAGAACATTTGAAAAGTAAATCATAAAAATGAATCAATGTTATTATTTTTTTATTGTTTATTCAAATGCATAATCTAGATTTTCAGGTATTTAAATATTCAATAGAAATGTTTTTTTTTATTATTTTGATCTGTTTTAAATAATACATATATATTATTAAATATATTATTTTAAATTTTTATCAATATTATAAATAGAAATATAATCATTAAAATTTTAGTAAAAAAAATATTTTGTTATTAAAATTATACAAACTCTCTAATTTATCTTTATATTATAATTGGTTGATATAATTATAATCTATGATTGATTAAAATCAATTATATCATATCATATACTTACAAATTTACAATTCTGACAAATTATGATAGCTAGATAGAATATTAATACTAGTCAAAATAATCCAAATTGATTAGAAATCAAATGACTGAATTTAAGTTAATTTTAATATTATTTATAGTTAAAATATGTTTTTAATCAACCTAAATCATCACTGATTGACTCTGATTAAAAAAACAATTCAACTTAATTTAGTACTTAAATTCAACTATAATCAGCCTAAATTAGTTTCAATTTAACATCAATTTAGTCAAATAAACATATATAATCAGTATATTTTTATTTATTAAATATTAAAATATTTTATAAAAATTAGTAAAAACATAACAAAAATATTATCAAAATTCACTGATTAATTTTCTATATAAAAATATAAGCAAAAAAAATAAAAATAGAAAAAATCATATAAAAAAATAAAATAATAATAAATAATAAAAATATGATTCATTTTCCTTTAAATTTTTTGAAATCATTCTAAATATTCATTATTATAACATTATTATTATCTCAAAAAAGTAAAATAAATAAACAAAATAATAAATAAAATACAAAATTTCTAATTTTAACAGAGATAAAATTCTTTTTCAATCATATGCTATATTTATCTATATGATATTAGTTTAAAATTTATATTTAATATTTTAATTATTTTATATTAACTAGCCAAACTGAAATAATTTTTTTTATTAAAATTTTAATCAATCAAAATATGTGACAAATCACATAACTTTAATTGTACATAATACTATTAATTTATTTTAGTATTTATTGAATATAATAAATTAGTTGTTTCAGAAAATTTAGTTTAGTATAGAGTAAGTTCATTATACAGTCAACTCTTATTATAATGAACTTTATGTCCTAGTTCTCAACTTTGCTATAAGGTTATAGTAAAGATTTTAAGAGATTTGATTATTCAATTCATTATAATAAAAGTATTTTTATTATATTTATTCAAAAAATTCGTTATATTAAGAGTTCGCTTTATCAAGAGTTGATTATATATAATATTAATAATTCAGGTTAAATATATAACATTATAATTCATGTAATATAAATTTTCTTTTTTAAAATTTTATGGTATTTAAATAAATTAGAATTTTTCATAAAGTTACTCTATTAGAGTCAAAACTAAATATTTTATTTATATAAAATTATTTTTAATCATTTTTATTTAATGTTAAATAATAATTCTAATCAATATTATAAATCTAACCTAAATTACTATTTGGTTACATGACTATTCAATATATAAAATATATAATTAATATTAGTAAATCAGTTAAATTAAGTTTAAATATGATATATAGTAATTTATTATAAAAGTTCATTATATCTAGTATAATTAATTATAAAAAATTATTTCTAAAGATTTTGATTCAATATAATGAGTTATAGTACAAACAGGTTTAGTATAAATAGTAGTGATTATATTTTAAATAGGATCTAATAACTAAAGAGAACTAGACTCAAATTACTACTATAATTCAAACTGACCAACTTGAATTATAGTAGTAATTTAAGCAATTAACTTTTTAAAACTAGAGTTCTAGATGAGTCGAGTTAACTCACGAGTCAGATAAGTCGAGTCGAATTTAAATCAAGTCGAGTTTATATTTTTTTGACTCGATGATTTGCAAGTCAAGCCAAATTCAAGTCAAGTTAAATATTTAACTCGACTCAATTTAAACTTAACTTGATTCGAGTTGACTCGAGTTGACTTGAACGATAAAAAAATCGTTCAAGAAGAACAATAACGAATCGTTTGATTTAAACAATAAAAAATCGTTTAAGAAGAATGATAACTAATTGTTCAACTTGAACGATAAAAAAATCATTCAAGAAGAACGATAACGAATCGTTCGCTCTCCTCCCTCTCAATCTTTTCATTTTTTTTATTAATTAAATATTTATAAAAATTTAAAATTAACTCATAACTTGATTTGAACTTGACTCAATTTGAATAAATTCAAGTTAAAATTGAATCGAATTAAAATCGAATCAAGTCAAATTGAGTCAAGTTTAAAATTTATATAACTCGAATCAAATCAAATTGAAAGATTTTATAAAATAAATTTGACTTGACTCGACTCAACTCGAAAAAAACGAGTCGAATAGAGTTAGTCTTTAAATTCGATTTGACTCGACTCATTCAGAACTCTATTTAAAACTATAATTCTTTCTTGTATTAAATGTAATTATGAAAAATTTAAAAAGCTTAATTAGTTTATTATAGAGTTCTGAATAGGTAGATAAAATTCAGGTACCTGACTTAAAAATTCAGATCAGGTATGAAATTTCTGTCTAAAAATTTAGATTAGGTAAAAATTGACCTGACCTGATTGACCTAATTGACCTGAAATATTAATTGATTATTAGTTATTAAAATCAAGATAATTATTGTATAATATACAGTGACTGACAAAAGAAACGTAACAACTTATTTTTAGCTTTAAATGCTTATAATTTATTAACTACAAATGCTAGAAACATAATTTTTGATTCATTTTAATCTTTACATTTTGGAAATATCTTATAAAAATTTATTAGCCAATTAATAATGCCAATTTTGTATAATGTAAAGATCTACATTAAAAATAGTACTTAATAACTTTTGAGCTTAGAAA